GTCAATACTTGATATTTTAGTTAAACAATATCCATAATTACCCATTGACTAATTTAAACTCAAGACAAAAATGTAAACAAAATGACAAACTATAACACCATTTAATGATTTCTATCTGATCACATGCTTATTTAGTAGTTGACTTTGTGTTAGATTCATTGAGTTCAGCATACTGAACATATGTAACTTACGCAAGATGTGTTTATTTAGCGCATAAACTTGGTGACATGGTTTAAGCAATCGACTTTTAATCACTACATTACCCATTCGCATTGTACTTTAACATAACAACAGTTTGACAGCTTTCACTGAGCAGATGCAACTCGCAACTTAAAAATTAATCTGTAAATAGTTGTCGAGTTGTAATAATAATTAGTACTCATTGTATTGTAATAGTACGTAATGGAAGAAAAAGCAGTATTGAGCATCCATTAAACAAAAACCGGAATGTGACAATTTGTTGACTTCATCGTGAAGAAAGAGATGTTTAACGTTTACGGGTAATATATGATATTCATACATACTTCAAATCACATCAGTAAAGCAATATGTATCAGTTGACTTGTTGCTAGCAACCAACCAAGCAATATAATATGTGAAGTGTTGTATTAGTTAGACATAAATAATCCCATTTTTTCTATTGTAGCAATACGATAAAGATTTGTGTAATTCCAGCTGAAATTATCTTTTTTGAGTTTAAGGAAATATAGAGTTGTGGTCTTACTAGTGGTAAGTGACACTAATTAATGTCAAGTTTTTAACAGCTAATGTAAAATTTTGTCAATTTTTTCTTTGTAATATTTAAATCATATATGCTGGAGTTTTGTTCTCTGAGCTGGATGGTTTGGTCATCCTTCTGAACGATCAGAAGAATGATGAAAGCTCCACGACCAAACCATCCAGTTCAGAGGACAAAACCCCATCAAAATCATCCACCTGAGCTACAAATCTTCTCCATCATATATGCACTAATTGTGTTTTTCCATAGTGTATTGTTAACAATTTTTAATGAAACAGTAAAAATATTCATTCCATTGGAAACTAAACAGATAATTTTTTTGTGGAACAAGACAATGAGCAGAAGGAATGAACTGATAATTATTGTGGGAAATTACAGTATTTATATAATACGTACATATAGCCTTCAATCGTTCATTAGCATCTTGTGTGAAATCCGAACTGCCTTCTCATCTAGTCTTCAAGTGTTCTGACTACGCCGTGCTTTTGATGTACTGAGACTCTTTTCTCTGGCTGACGACTGCGACAGCTTCGAGGCCACGCTCCGCTACATACTACTTACAAATCTGTGAGTAGAGTCTACCACACTTAGTCACACATGGAGCAAGAAACTTTGGCCTGCATGAGACACTGTGTGAAATAATAAGTATTGCTACTCTTCTATCACACTTGTTCTACGATCCACCTTAACACTTCAAAATAGTTTTCGTTAGGTTTAACAACTTTGTCAACTGAAAATAGTTAATAAGTTGTATTACTGACGAACCGATTCACAGTCAACTTTGGTCGATTGTGTGGATTCGACAACATGATGACAATGGGTTTGTTTCGTAATTCTCGTGGTTAAACGAGTTGACCTTAGTTAGACAACTAATGAAATTTAAAGAACCATGAAACACTGCTTCACTGAAGTATGGGAATTGTAAGACTTCATATCCACGACCCCGACAAGGTTCCAGCTCCAGGACCTATAGGAATAGCAGTAAAAGTATGCAGACACAATAAAGCACATACTCAAAATAAACACTACGTACTTGACAACTCTGTTTAACTTTGAGTAAATATTCTACAATTTTTTGTAATCGCTGTTGATCTGTTGCAATACGCCGGCGTAGGAATATAAAGCTACCACACTGCATTGCCCAACCAGCACCTGGAACTTTCGCAAGAGAATCCTTAAGGATTATTTTCATACGCTGAATTGGATCACCTAAGCCCCACACGAAGAACCAATCCAATTGCGTCCGGTGATTGATCAGAAAGAGACAGCTATGGGGTTTAGTAGTGGTGGATGGTATAACTCGGTCACCAAAATGACGGATACGACAACCAAGAATTTTGAGTATTACAAACTAAAAACGATAATACATTAAAACAATTAGTCCCTTTGATAAATTTCGATAATGATACTAGAAGACGAAGATTATCAGATCTATATGATATATTAGCGCAATACATTTCGAACAATCTGGTCACACATATACATATACATATATATATAAATGCTCTTAACAAGTATATGTGTGACCAGATTGTTCGAAATGTATTGCGCTAATATATCACATAGATCTGATAATCTTCGTCTTCTAATATCATTATCGAAATAATACATTGGTTTGATTATACACACAACTTTAAATGGCATTCAATGAAGATGTTGGAGTTACTTTGGCTTATATTTGACATCATATTCTGAACTGTTATAGTGCATGAGTATAGTAATCATTGAATTCCATAAGCTAAATAATAAATTGCAGAAAAAATAAACATTTCTGCAGTGCGATAAAACTTCATCCGGGAGATTTGGCCAATATATACAGATTACAAATCAACGGCTTCCCTATTACTTACGACAAATTTTAAGAATAGACAGTTAGATGAAACAGTGAGACATGTTTTTTAATTTACAACCTGAATACGACGTAAAAATAAAGATTAATAATATCGAGATACTAACAACTAACCATTTCAAACAATCTTCTCTGATGACTATCAGCTACATATAGGTTTACACACTGAGATATGAGTTACACGGAATAGAGGGGGGTGATGATAGTGACTGACTGTACAAACACCAGTGGGTAACATGTACACAGAATGAGTAGGAAATCCGCAAACCAATTCAGCTTTAAAAAGAGTTGAGCTAAAACAATTACAGAACAGACTGTGGTCAACATTAACATGACAAGTTAGATTTAGGAGCGCAATAAGAATGGCGAATCCATGATTGAATCCAATGAATATAATGTTTGAGTCGGACTTAGAATTCAAAAATCATATACATGATTATACAATAAATCGGAAGTCATCCATACCGAGTGAAATAGACGGATAAACGATACCAATAGGGAATCAAGGTTTCAACTGACGAATTCTAAAAAATTAGGCTCGCTTAATTCAAGCGGTCAATTACAATGGAAGAATTACAGTGGGTTTGTGATACAGTATATGGTTTCTTTCTTAGTTAAATATAAGACAGTTAATGCGGAATATGTGCAAAATCAAACAATCGGTAAAATCAATAAACGGACGGATGCTAATAAGTCAGAATTCAGGAAACAAAAATACTGATGATTTGTATGGATGAATATAAGTACGCCAACGACAGTTTTATTCCTAGTATAGGATTGTGGAGATTGTTAAATTTCATTTAAACCACAAACCAATATAAATTAGACAATCATCGAAAGCTTGTAAACACTGAACAGCTATTTCGTCGTAGTACAGGACTCCAAAGTGGTTTGTATCCAATGTCCCACAATCAGGGATCAAACCCACAGCCTTCTGTTGCAAGCACTAACAGTTGACCTGTAGACCATTGAGCCGGCATCTAATCGAGTACAAGTCTAACTTTAATCAATCCACGAGAGGAGATTTCTGGAGTTCTAGTCAGAAGCCGTGACCAGTGGAGTTTAACCATATCAGGTATGAGGAAAGTACCTAACAAAGACAATAGGAAAATGGTTGTGCAATATAGTGGATTGATTGAAGTTAGACTTGTACGCGACTAGATGCCGGCTCAGTGGTCTACTGTTCGTGCGCCAAACCGAAGGCTGTGGGTTCGATCCTCGGTTGAGAGGTAGTGGATGTACATCACTCAGAAGTCTCGTACTAAGACGAAACAGCTGTTCAGTGTTTACAAGCTCTCAATAGTTTTCTAACTTAGATCGGTTTGTGATTCCAATAAAAATCAACAATGTTTTTGTATAATCAAATGGAAGTTACATTCGCCTTACTTGTCTTCTGTTGAGTATAAATTTTTGTTATCTATAAGTTGTTTGTGGTTGAACAAAATCTACTAGCTTTTTTCGACAAAAAAAACAACAAACAAACAGCATTTGTCAATCTAATTCTTTTCATAGGAAAATCAGCTGATATACACATGATAAGTTTTTTCACAAGAATTTGTGTTGATTAGAAATCAGAATTGCAAATGAAACAATTCGAATGACTCAAGAACATTCATAAAATTAATCATTTAAGTAAATTGATTTAAAAAAAAATTGTTTACTCTTGATAACTAGTTTATACTGGGAAAACAAAAACAATGGAGCGTATAGAATTAAAGATTAACAAAAAGTTATTTGAATTGTAGAATGTAGGATTACTTCGCTTCACACTAAGGATGACTATTAATTTGTTACGCTTCACGACCAGTTCGGAGGGAAATTAACTGTGTTTTGATGTGATGCCTAATTGCTTTATTCACACCTAATGGCATCTGTGATAGCATGTTTGAATCTAAAGTATTCTGTTGTTATTATACTTGAAAAATAAAATGTTTTATCTGAGCAATAATTTCTACTGCAATTATCTCATCTTTTAGTCATCAAACTATATCTACATATATACTTACTTCAGCAAGCATCAGCCACGATGTTAAGAGAAAGTCACTAAAATAGCGAAATACAACAGGCGACAGAATAGCCAACGGTAGTAATGGAGCCAAAAAGAAGATAGAGCCAATGTACGCAGAAAACAACAATAGACAGATTCCAATTATACCTCGAATTCCATACAACTTATTAACAGGAAGTTTCGGTGGAACAGGCTGTGGAACACATGAAGAGTAACTACCCTCAGACTTTTCCACAAACGAAACTGGTTCAGATGACGTTGTGCAATTTTCTCGCTGAGACTCATCATCTGGAATCACCTTAACAGCACCTGACATTTGAAGAATTCTCTCTCTAAAATAGAATAATAGCAGTATGAAGTATGCACAGTAAATAAAAAGTGGGAAAAGATAATTGTTTTGTTTTCAGACATTTATTGTTGACAATTAGTTACAATTAAAAAATCAAGCAGTAAAAACGAGTGTACATGTAAGCAGAACAAAATATATAAATAATAGTGTGGGAAAGTGATGAAGTTACAGTATGTTCATTACAAAGATTTTATAAAAATGGATATCAATCAAAAGTTTATCCTGACGAAAGAATAATAAGAAATACAATAAAGTAGGATGAAAATACACTCAGATGAAAAAACAAGTTGGTAAGTTCAGTTTTCTACTAAAAAGCATGTTTAAAATCACTGCTTTTAAAAAGTGTACTCTATTTGTTAACTACCCCAAAAGCTCATGATAGGTTAAGATTCTTCACTGAATCCAAATTACCTAGTAGTTTTTTAACACTATTTCTCTATTTTACCACTGACCTTTATAATACTGATCAGGTCATTTTAACAAATATGGGTAATTAAGTTTAGCCAAATAAAAGCTTACACCGCTAATATCACCGGTCATTTTCAGACAAAATGGATGTCTTCCATAATAAACCCCATTTTCAAATAAAGAAAATACTAGTAACTGACGTGTACGAAACAAATCCCATCACAACTTTTACTTTTGGTCTATTGCAATTGCAATTCATTTTTGTTGGAGACATGTTCTGACAGTCAAGGTCAAGTAGTCGATGAGATTACAATAACTGAGGCTAAACAAATTTTATTAATATTATCTTTATGCATTTAGTTGTTGATAGTTATCTAATCCTCGAAATAGTAATCCAAGTCGGCATTGCTCCTCATCAATTATTTAGTTTTTAACCTGTATAAAAAGTAATCCCCATGTTTACAAATGACCTGATAAATAATAATGTTCGGTAAGCAACAATGAACCATTTATAGGCTGGTTGCTGCAAAATCTGACCATCGATATAAATATATAGGAATTAATTAAGTAATTTAGAAGTGAAATAACAAGTATTTGGACATTTTCCTAATAAGATCTTGCCACTAAATGCTATGGTACAGATGAGGGTGGAGAGAGTTAGCTTTTCCTCTCGAAATACTTTCACATGGCCACGCGTATACAGCCAATGTCAGGAAAGCCCTACACACTGCTTTCTCGCGGCACCGGTGTTGTTACAAAACTGAGAGGATGAAAAGCGAATGTCCAGCGCTTTAACCAGCTTGGCGGAAACGATGAGTCTACCTAGGGGAGTTGGAAAACCCTGATCCCAAATAAAATGATCCACGTGGGCTCCAATATACTGAAGGAACAAATGGCGTATGTACCAATTGTTGGTCACCGGCTATCATGGGACTGCATCTCCTGACGTTGCTCCACGGCCTTGTGGATCAGACTTTATGGTCGAATGCTCCGAGTGTGACCCCCTTAGAAAATCACCTGCTTCGGTTTAGGCACCCGGGCAGTATCACAGCCCACACACGAATCAAGTGACTTGTGTGGTGTATATGTATTCGGTGCCCCTTTGCATCAATATGTGTCGAAATAAATAAATAAATAAAAGATAACTCATAAATAGAACAACACATATAAGCGAACAATTGTTTTCAATTAGATCGTCATCAGGCTTTACTCTAATATACATGAATATTTATACGAAAATTTTAAACCAATCAAGGCAATATGGGTCAATAATCACAATGAAATAGAATAAGTCTATCATAAATAGATTATTGTTCAAAACCAATCTTATTATTTGGTAATTTCTGGCAGGAAAAAGTAAAAATGAAACTCAGTTACATTTTTTTAGTCGAATCAGTTGTTGATTTGGCAAATTATATACATGCATTAAGTTATTTGTCAATCAGTGTCAATCACTTCCAGTTCAATGAGGTCAAATTTAACCATTGATCAAATACTTAAAAACGCTGCAAATTTCCTTTTAATTTTTGATGTCAGTTTGATCAGATGAAAGTCGGTTGTAAGTCAGTGGTGGAACCAGTAATTGATGTACAAATAATTCTTCATTTACAGTCCTGCTTTTTTCCTTAATTGAGACATACCCGTCCTGTTATGAAGTAACGAATACCAAATGGAAGTTTTTTCCGCAGTCATAAGAAATAGCAATATCAGTAGCAGTATAAAAGTTTCACTGTAAGACTACTAAATTTTTAAATACTATCGACTTGCCCTACACAATAGTTAGTTCTCCAGTGGTTTAGTTCTACCTAGAACACTCCCGAACGACCAGTCTAACATCTAATGACGTTCACATCCACGTGTGAAAGGTGCTTCAAAGTCAGAGTTGGAACATTCATAACTATGTTGCTTTCTGATTACAACACATATTTCACGTGCATACAGTAAAGCTTATTTGCATCAATACATAGTATAATTATCACTTTACAAACAGGCAGTTTAACGTAGCTTTGCAATGAAGTAACTACAAGATCATTCGATAAGACTCATCCTTATCATTATTTGAGTTATAGTCAATAAACTCATTAGAGAGTCAAACAGTAGTTCAGCCTTTCTAAATTTTCAAAAAAATATTGGGAAGATTTGAGAATTTTAACATAACTAAGTTGAGAAGCATGTATTCTACCGGCCCACATATTGAACCATGATAACCGATCACCGAATAATGTGAATTGCTGCGGACTAAAAAGGTTAGTTACAAATACACTATCTAAATACAATACGCTTTCCCCAGACCACGAAAGATTAATAGAAATGAAAGACAAAAAAAATGCTCAAGGTTTAACAATTATAGCATTGCGTTATTAGAATAAGATATCTACACTTAGTACTGAGTTGAATTAAAAAACAAGTAAAATAAATAGTGATGAAAATTGAATGACCACTTCCGAACAGAATAAACATGTCTCGAAGAATGGTGAGGATTTCTTGAATTCTTCCGATTTTTGCCATCTGAATATAGGTTTTCAACAGGCTAAACAGCTTCGACGGTATTTATCTACAAATACCAAGGCGTGAAGAATGCTAAGTAGCTGTTACCCTTACTTTGAGCTACAAGTCTTCCACCATTGCAAAACTAAGGTTCAGATTTTTAAAAAATATATCCAGGGTCAAAAATTGAAGATTACAAACATGACATTTTACAATACAGAACGACTTGCCAAAGCACCTCGCGACAGTGAGAAATTAAGAGCGTAAATATGAAATTCGAATTATCTTTACAAACACTGTTGAAGTTCCATGGATTAAATTACTACAAAGTTTTATTTTGAACCTGGTTTCCGAACAGGTGCGCAGTCATGTACTCCACGTACAACTTTATGTTTCACTCCGATAAGGTCTTGTGTGCGACCACCACGAACTAAAATAATATTATGTTCCTGTAAATTATGACCTTCACCAGGAATATGAGCTGTGATTTCACGACCATCAGTTAAACGGACACGTACACATTTTCTGTTCGCACTATTTGGTTTCTTGGGTTTACGTATAAAAGTTTTTAGCACAATCCCTTTTATGAATGGCTTCGCGTTCATCGCTTTATTTGGGGGACGCTTCTTTTGAAATGGACCACAAATGGCCATTTGAGCCAAAGTAGCTAGATTAACGGTTGGAGACATCCCAAGTGGTGAAAAGCAGTTTTTCGATGCAACTGGTAAAGATAATCCATTATTTATACACTTGAGGCCAACTGAAACAAAGGACCAATTCAACAGTTGTTTGTGGAAGGAACCTATAGTAAAAAATAATTAGCATGCTGTGAGATGTAAGAGTATAGGTGCATAAATATAATTAAGATTAAAGGCTTTACCGAGCTGATAAAATGTCTGTGTCTATATAAAGCACGACCAGCTTACACCACATTTAATTCAAATCAGATATACCCCATTTCATATCGGAGTGGATAAAGTGCATTACTGCACGGTTGAGATCTAGTTCATGCAGGTATATGAGGTAGAATATTTGGTCACTTAAGATTTTGCGCCATTGCCCAAATCCAATTACACTATGAGAAGAGAAATGTAGAGATTATGTTATTTATTTTATTTACTTATTTGAACGCATAAATATTGGTACAAGAGGGCAACAAATATATATGCGCCACACAAAACAATGAGAATTCGAAGAGAAAGAAAAAAAGGTAAGGAGCGTAAAAGAAAAAACAATAACGAACAGATTAGTGTAAGGTAGTGTAATAATAATTATAATAGTAATAGTGGAGGAAACAGGAAGGTACAACGAGAAAAAATCTTTCAGTTAAGGAAAAAGCAACCACTTTTTATGAAGAAAGTAAAAGAAGGTTACAGCAGGATCGCCACTGGCTTCTATTCTGAGCCATATCTGATAACGTCTCTAGCCTTTCTTGACTTAAAAGCAGCATTTGACTCGGTAGACCGCGAGATTCTGTGGCAGTTTCTGTCATTGAAAGGCGTACCTCAGAAGTACATAAACCTTGTGAAGGCTCTTTACTCGAACACTACCAGTCGAGTCAGAGCTTATGGTGAACTGTCATCTACTTTTGCAACCTCAAGTGGTGTCCGTCAAGGCTGTCCACTTTCTCCATTTCTGTTTAACTTCATCATAGACCTACTGATGGAAATAACATTCTCGTCGACTGAATTCTCGGATATCGATCTCCTACCAGGAAGCCCATTCATCGACTTAGAATACGCGTCGACAACTTCACTTATCTTGGAAGTCTGATCAGCCCTAATGGGCTGGTATCGGACGAAATCTCAGCACGGATTCGAATATCTCGTTTGGCTTTTGCCAACTTACGTCACCTATGACGAACGCGATATATCCGTCTATCAATAAAAGGACGAGTATACTGCGCGGCAGTCCGTTCTGTTTTACTTTACGGCAGCGAAACATGGCCTTTAAGAGTAGAAGACACTCGTAAGCCACTAGTATTTGACCACAGATGCCTTAGAAATATTGCTGGCGTCTGTTGGGATCACCGGGTAAGTAATAGTGAGGTTAGATGCAGGGTATTAGGTAATAATGGTAAATCAGTTGATGAGGTTGTTAATCTTCATCGACTGAGATGGTTGGGCCACGTGTTACGTATGCCTGAACACTGATTACCACGTCGTGCAATGTTAATGGGTGTTAGAGATGGTTGGAAGAGAATTAGGGGCGGCCAAACCAAAATGTGGCATCAGTGTTTGAAGACACTAACCTCTAGTCTGAGCCATGTTGGTAGATGCAGACTACTTGGTTTGGTTCCGCGCGACTATCATAACCAGTGGTTGGAAACTCTGGGTGACATGGCTCAGAATCGATCACAATGGTGTAGGTGTATACACTCCCTGTCTTCCCTTAAACTAAGAGATTAAAATCACTTCATATCTTTCTTTCTACTAACTAATTCTTTCTTCCTGTACTGTATCCTTATATGCAATCTTTCTTTTATATATTACCACCATTGACTTAACCACTCCTATGAATCCGGTGTTCATCTTGCTGTGCTAATGCGGTATGGCAACCTGGACCGATGCATATATGTGTCTGGTCCTACGTTGTAGCTGACTGACTGACTGACGTCTCTAGCCACAGTGTAGCACCATCTCTCGAACCCCAGCCAGGGAGTCGTGAAGAACCGACAGGACCCAGTCCTTCGCAGCTTTCTTTCATACCACGACACCATGTCATACACTAAACACCTCTCCGCTTTTTCTAACCAGTCCCAGAGTCAGCATATAATGCACGACGTGGTACACTCTGGGACGACATTCGTAGAACACGTCCAAGCCACCAAAGTCGGTGTTTCAAGGTGGTGACACCAATTGCACTATCGTCCCTGTGCCCGAGCACACGATGCCGAACCTCTGCATTACTAACATAGTGTTGCCACTGGATGTCAGCAATCCTTCGGAGACAGCGATGATCGAACACAGAGAGTCGTCTAACGTCCTCAACTCGAAGAGGCCAGGTTTCACAAGCATAGAGCAAAACTGCTCTCACCAACACGTTGTAGATCCGACCTTTTACAGCCAGACTAATATCACGAAGGCGCCAAAGATGCCCCAGATTGGCATAAGCCGTACTGGCTTTGCTCCCAAATGCCCTGGTATCGCCGAAAGTGGGGTGGGCCCGCCCACCCTCTCGAAATGCTCTCACATGGCCACGCGTATATAGCCTCTGCCAGGGAAGTCCTACTCACTGCCTTCTCGTGGCGGGAGTGTTGTTTACGAAAATGAGAGGATGAAAAGCGAATGTCCGGCGCTTTAACCGGATGCCAAACAAAATCAATGGTGTATATGGGCTCCAGTATCCTGCGGGAACAAATGGCGTATGAACCAATGGTTGGCCACCGGCTTCCATGGGACTGCATCTCCTTACGATGCTCCACTGCCTCGTGGGTTAGGCCTTTAGGTCAAAGGCTCGGGGTGTGACTCCCTAAGAAAACCACCTGTTTCGGTCTGGGCACTCGGACAGTATCACAGCCCTCACACAAATATGATGAACTATTCAACAGATTATGTAAGGTTTTAAAAGATACAAACAAATCAAATAATTAGGTTGTAGAACTGCAACTATCAAGATACTTGTAAAATACACTGAGAATATTTAGCAACTGTACTGGACGTGATATATAATTGCGGTGTAGTGAAACAGTATGGTTTCAATTCTATTTGAAGTAAAAGAACATACGTAAATGACATCCTCAGACTAAAGAAGACCGGTTTTCTTTGACTTGTTTTCACGCTGCAGTGAAAGCGATAATATCAACAGTGTTGGATTATGTGAAGTTCTTTTACACTAATAAGACCTGTTTGATAGCCTAAAACAGCTTTCTGTATACTTGTAATTGTTTTTGAGAATCAGGGTCGCTAAACATGGGTTATTAGGTCTCCTGATATTGCCAACCCTACTGTTGAAGGATGATGAAAAATTATGCATTCTAGTCATTAACATGCAACATAAATTTTAAGTGCTAGTTGGTTTGTACGGTATTAATGGGACTTTTAATAAATAAATATACATAGAACCCCTTGAATCAGTGTATACAAGTTTATAATGAGCACTATGGTTGTAAACCCAGATATAAGGCAGAAGCAACGTTCTAGGTAAATATACACCAAGACAACACAGAAAATCACAGAAAGGACAATAGACAAAACAAATGATAAAAGATGGAAAAGGGGTGATAAAATCGTAGTTTGTAACATAAGTAGTGAATCTGAGCTATGTCAGCTAACATCTCTAGAGAGCATGTTCCAACTGTGCTGCCAGTCAGCTACAACGTAGAACCAGACACATATATGCGTCGGTCCCAGTTGCCACACCTCATTAACACAAAAGGATGAACATCAAAATTATGGAATTAGTTAACTCAATAGTAGTTACAAAAAGTTTCATATAAGGATATGATACAGGGAGAAAGAATTAGTTCGTAGAAATAAAAGTATAGTAATTTTAATCTCACGGGTTAAGGAAAGACAAAGAGTGTGTACACCGACGCCATTATGATCGATTCTGAGCCATGTCACCCAGAGTTTCAAACCACTGATTATGATAGTCGCGCGGAACCCAACCAAGTAGTCTGCATCTACCAACAGGGCTCAGACTAGAAGTTAGTGACTTTATGGACTGATGCCACATTTTGGTTTGGCCGCCCCTAACTCTCATCTACCGGTCTCCAATACTAGTCAGTATTGCACACTGTGGTAATCAGTGTTCAGGCATATGTACCACGTAGCCCAACCATCTCAGTCGATGAAGATTCACAACCTCATCAACCGATTTACCATCATTCCCAAATATCCTGCATCTAACCTCAATATTACTTACCTAGTGATCCCAGTAGACACGAGCAATATTTTTAAGACATCTGTGATCAAATACTAGTAACTTACGAGTATCCTCTACTCTTAATAGCCACGTTTCGCAGCCTCAAAGTAGAATAGAACGAACTACCGAGCAATATACACGGCCTTAATTGATAGACGGATATCTTGCTCTCGCCATAGGTGACGTAAGTTGGCAAAAGCCAAACGAGATATTCGAATCCGTGCTGAGATTTCGTCAGACACCAACCCATTAGGGCTGATCAGACTTCCAAAATAAGTGAAATTGTCACTCCCTATCCTTAGTTCAGGTGTTGACGCACGCCAGTCCTGAAGCAACAATTTGCATTTGGAGAGGTAGAAACGTATCTCAAACATCCTGGCATTGTTACTCAGTACTAACAAAAGACCCTGCACTTTATTAGTCTTCATCAAACAGGATTATGATATCGGTGTATTATAAGTCGCTAAGTGAACCTCCTGGAGGGAGATCAATAACTGAAAATTCAAACGACGAGAACGTTATTTTCAGCAGTAGGTCTACGATGAAATTAAACAAAAATGAACATAGTGGACAGCCTTGACGGACACCACTTGTAGTTGCGACATCAGATGACGGTTCATCATAAGCTCTGACTCGACTGGTAGTGTTCGAGTAAAGAGCCTTCACAAGGTTTATGTACTTCTGAGGTACGCCTTTCAATGACAGACACTGCCACAGAATCTCGCGGTCTACCGAGTCAAATGCTGCTTTCAAGTCAACAAAATCTATCATTGTCGGACGCCGACAAGCATTCCTGTGTTCTAGAACCTGACGAATAGTGATTATGTGGTCGATGCAGCCACGACCAGGTCTGAGGTCAGTCTGTTTTTCTCATATTTGCAGTTCACGAGTCTTTGTTAAGCGTCCGATAATTATTGAGGTTAGTATTTTAGATGCTGTATTAGTCTAACTCCCAGATCTTAGCTAAAATATTAATCAACCTAATCGCTAAAATTCGACCATCATCCTTAAAGACCTCTGGAGCCAATCCATCTGGACCAGCTGCCCTTCCTCGTTTCAGATTAAGTGTAGCCTTTTGAACTTCTGCTAGAGTTGGGGGACCTACTTCAATGTTCCATTCACACTGTATGGGAATGGAGGGGAGTTGTAGCGTAGCTGAAGGTCAGCTGAATTGTTCCCTAAAATGTTCCGCCCATCGTTCTAAACGTCTGGACTGGGAGCAGATGGGAGTGTCGTCTTTTTCCGAAATAGTCTGACTTACACTTGACTTATTAATTCCAGTTTTTTTATTAGTCTGTAGAGCTGTCTTGTGTTCCCTATAACCGCCGCCTTTTCCATCTCCTTTGCTTTCGTTGCCCACCAATGCTCATGGTTGTTCCTTGGACTGTTACTTAACCTAGATCTGATTTGTTGTCGCACTTCATCGTGTTCAGAGCCTGATGGGATGAGTTAACGAGAATCCATCAGTGCAATAGACCTTGAAGAAACCCATTGGTTCTTTGTAACCCTGTGGTTTAAATCACTGACAGATTCCACTGCTGTTTCCACAGCTGTTTGTATAGCTTTCCAAGCAACATCTGGGTCAACCTCGTTTTCAGAACTACCTAATTGTGACCTCAGTTGTTCCTGGAACCTACTTTTGGTTTTCTCGCTACTCAATCCAGTTCTAATGGGTCTTTTTACATTGGCTTTTTTGCGTACATTGAGGCGCGAGCAGATGCGTGCCCGTATTAGGGCGTGGTCGGGGTCGAAGCAGGTACTCCAGAATTAGAGACAATCTTCTACCGACCAACAAAATCTATCATTGTCGGATGCCGACAAGCATTCCTGTGTTCTAGAACCTGACGAATGGTGATTATGTGGTCGATGCAGCCACGACCAGGTCTGAGGTCAGCCTATTTTTTCTCGTATTTGCAGTTCACGAGTCTTTGTTAAGCGTCCGATAATTATTGAGGTTAGTATTTTAGATACTATATTAGTCAAACTAATCCCTCTATGGCTAACAAGGGATGATTTTGGCCCCTACTTATGTATTGGGACAATCAGTGATTTCGACCAAAATAAACAATATATATGGTGTAACCTAGGCTAACGAATACTAAAACGTTATCCATTCAACCATATATCAAATTTAATATTAAGTCTCTTGCCTAAAATTGTTATCCATGTTTTAGTGTTTGATTTTCTCGACTCTTTTGAAACACTATGCTATTTACTGCTTCCCCTGTTTTAGCATTATTTGTCACAACAATGATCTAGCGCACATGGAAATCAATCAATCGTTTGTCAAAACACTGCTTTAGGACACATGCATCTAAACAGCATCACATATTGAACTGTTAAACTCCGAAACCTAATAGTCTGGAGAGCGAATCGTCACGCGGGATCTGCAGATGGGGTAGTAGGAGAGCGTTTCCGCTTAAAGAGGTATGATTTTCGTTATATTCCTACAAGAAACTGAAAGGCAAAGCAAATATCTCAATACCTACAGAGTTATAATGATCACCAAGTTTTCTTTTGAGATATATACTAGAGGGTGCTATCACAATAGCTTTCGGTAGAGTTCCAAACGTACCGATCTAAACAGCGAAAAGGTTCGTAAGAATTTTCGTGTGAGCTCTTTACGCGTTGACGTCTTCATTTCTGCGACCTATTACCATAACGTATCGGTGGTTTACTCACATGAAGAGAATTATAGGGAAAATGATACACTACGGCTACATCACCTTAAACCTCATGTTAGACAGGATGTAACAGGCGAACCTAGGTCAGCTGAGCAGGGCTAAATTTTTCAGCCCGCACATTGACGTTGCTCTTTTCTGAATGTTTCAAATTAGTAAAGATAAGGGGACATAATGCACAAGTTATTCCAGGTGAGGTGTGAAGTTGATACTAAAAACGGTTCTCAATTATTCCAGAACCAGGCTACGTAATATTCCAGAAGTACTATTCAAAAGTCACTGGCCGCAGAATTACAATTCTTTTCCTTTTAGATAGATGTACATACCAATAGGCGTCGCTTATTTACCACTAGTAGGTACGTGATTTCATATAAAGTTTATATTCCACAAATACCTCTTCGAATTATTTACTGACCAAACTCAACACTCAAGCCAGTTTTCTCACTCCCACAATATTAGCTGCCTTTGAAAATCGACACCAGCTTAATGTCACTAAGACCATTTTACCTTCTACAGTATGCAATATATAAATTCAAATGTAGTTTTATATTGACAAAACGATTACTGATCACAATACATTTAATCGTGTTCTGGAATGCTATAGCGAACTAAAAATGGTCCCGCATCCCATAACACTGAAATTTCATAGTGTGGAGTTTCAATATATTAGGAAAAACTAGCCTACCAGTCGATCTCGAAAACACGCTACAACAACGTTTGAAAAGCGCGGACATCACGCTTAAATTTGGTGACCCTAAGATTCCAATATTTGATTTCAATAATATCAAGTGATACAAAACAGCTATGAGTGGTAAGACGATATTGATTCGGAAATACTCTCGATATCGGACACAATCCACATGAGCGGTATTCAAAAAGACAATGGTATATTTACTCGCTGAGTTAAACGAATAAATTTCGATTGTTTATTACCCATTAAGAATATTTCTTTCACTTTAATTAAATTTATTTCAGCTGAAGTGACACGAAGATTGTTATTTTTACAAGATCAATTTATCTGCACTTTTTCTACCAGACTTTTTTATTTGTCACACTTCAATATCTAACATTTTACCGTTTTCTACTCTTTTTCTTGTTATCACTTCTGCGTTCATGTACTAATGTATCTTATTTATTTTAGCGGCTTTGTTTTGCTACTATATAGGTCTAAAAAAAGCAGTTGTCAATGCTCAGACTGTCGATACTGTGTGGAAAGTTGCACTCAGTACAATGAGTGCAGTGGATGACACAACCGTTTGAGCGAATCCAGTGCCAGCGGATTTAAGACGGTTTGTTAAACCTACGCAACTGACTACCACCTCACGATATTTTTAGGGCCTCTCCGTCAAGTATTTATGAACAAGATAGCTAAACGGACGTGAAATGAAGCCCAATCAGGTTGAGAAACAGTTCCCAAATCTCCCAATGAAAGGGACTTAATATTACAATGTAGACATGTACACATGATACCAGAAGTTTTTGACCATGAAGACTCGCCGCCTGCCAACTGTATAAGGTGACTTCAGTTATTTGTCTGTGGTTATGTCTAAATTCAAGGCCTCGTTTCTATGGAAAGCTCTACAGAAATCTCAGTTTTAGCATCTGGATCGTACTGTCATCATGCAGGTGAATGGAAATCAACTTCCGAGTTCAACTCATGTGGCTACTCAGTTTTTGCAGATTTGCACCGTTCACTATTATCACGTGATTCTCCGGAGTTTTATTGTTTGGTCGGGTTCCTACAAGAAGAACACTTAAACTTTGCACCACTGTCCATAGGATCGAAAGGTTCGTGGTTTTCTATCGCAACACCTGAACCCATCACTGGAATTGAAAAGAACCACTGGGATAGCGTATCTGTTAATGTATCTGGTGTTCAAGTAGCTTCGGATGGTCATAATGTATATTATTAATAACGAGAATAATAATAATTTATTCTCAAATAACAGTCTGTTGCATGAGGAATGCCAATTTACAGGCAAGATCAAATTGTTATGTAAGATACAGTGTACACTGTGGTAGGTTGCTCACTTAGTTTGATATTTTATGAGGTACACTGATCAAAAAATTGTTTGAAGGACGAAACTGTTACCCTACTAAAAGTCAGTAATTTTAAAAGCATCATTGAAGTTGATCACCGATTTAGGCCAGGGCTAGCAGTTTGTATGTATGCAGTTAGCAACGATCACTTTTTAAGTAACATCAAAACATTTGTTCAACAGGTCCGAAGATTAGTGAAACGTCTTTGTGTTGCATTCAAGATGGATCCGGTGTCATTCTCTGTCGAGGCATCATCACTCAGAAATTTTACATTATGGGGTACTCGCCAGCAACCAACTTTGTTTTAAGCCCCCTTTCAGTTCCTCGTCTTTTCATATTATCTTCGCATACTATGGACGATTGTAAATCATCTGCATCGATGTTTATGAGCTTCATTAACTACATTTCACGCGTCCCAACTTATTGTTTTTGGGTAATGAGACGTATCTCAACGTCCTTTATTGTGATCGCCCTGTAATCTTCATATGATTGAACTAAATCAATCTTTTTGTACATACTTCACGTCTTTGTTTTATTATCTGCTTCGATCGCTCCTTCGTTCATTGTCCTAGTGCTTTTGCACGATCAAGACGCCAGTGGAAATCGTAGACGATCATTAGAAGATCAGAAACCCTGCTAGTTTTGATTTCGTTGTATGATGAATTGCATGAGGGATATTTAAATGTCAACGTAGAGTGAAATTCATTGCTTGACGTAAAGTAAATTACACGATCTGATTATATCATATCATTTGTCATTATCATGCTCGCAAAAAACATGTTGAAAAGTTTAGTGCTATTTTCAAAGCGGTGACATCAGCATTCCACTCATCTCCTACTTCAGAAGCTACACATAGTCAGGCCATGCAAGACGACGTTTTTTAAAGTATTCATTTTTCTAAGTAAACTTAATGCAGCTGCAGTATTATGAATCTAGTAACCCTTCCCATCGTTTATTCGATTTCAAGTATAAATGGTGAAAGCGCGATGAAGAATTCATTATATCTTTGAGTAGTTTTGTGTATAATTATTCCATGCAATCCTATGTCATTTGTTAGCATATAAACGTCTTTGTTTAAACCTACATTTATCTGTTATCATGCAGCCCAGCTTTCTGTACCAGATTCCACCATTCTTAGCAATACATGCAACGCTTAAACCAAAAACCAAGTTTTCCAGACGTAAACTTGGATTAGTTTCCATTGAAATGCTTTTTTCATGAAGGTAACTGACCAGCGTGGGATGTCGTTATTCCGATGCAACCCATGTATGGATCCCTTTCTCCTTCAAATCGTAAGATTAAAGGTCTAATGTTCAGCTACTTTTGCTTGTTTTCTCAAATGTTTATCACTTTCCTTGTTTTTTTCATGAGCAGTGTACTTTAAGGATAACAATAAAAACAGTTTGACTCTTCTGAACAAAATCTTTTAAAAAATAAATTATTGATGTAAAAAGTGGTTGCCACCTACTTTTCACTGACTGTTGGGAAACTACTTCAGTGGTATGTTTGATGCGTCTTTTAAGATTAAAAACGTAGACTAATTGGTATGATAAACCGGTAGAATGTCTTTATTTGGCAACATTTGAATTTCAACTAGCTGAATGGCAAAATTTAACAAGTGGAGAAAGTCTGAAAATCTCCAGTTCTAATCATTTAGTGTTAGCAGTGTAACAACATGGTTAGTAATGAATCATCGATATGACATTACTGGACATAGAAACTGAAAATAGTGAGCTACAGTTTTTAATGAATTTTCCTTCCGATAAGATGAACGGAACAAGCTGTAAATGTTGCCTATATAAATTTGATTTTTGGACTTTCTTGCTTGTTTCACTGACTGTTCCATTAATTGACTGAAAGTACACCATACATATTTGTGATAGTTTGAAGTGCTTGAATCAGAGTACAAACTAGGAATCTAAAAAAACGCAATTTAACCAGAAAGTACTAGATCAGCAGGAACGAACGTATTTTACTCGGAATTCGAAATCACACAGTCAACAAGTACGAAGGGATCATTAGTTCATACAAACACCACAATATTACAAACCTCCACATCTATACTTCTCTGAACACTTCTGAAATATAACATAGCACTGAAATATGCACAGATCTGCAGGTGATCAAACTTATATTTCAAGTAGTCGTACATCTCTCTATAATTTAAAAGTACGAGACCAAGGAAGCTTAAGATAGGTTAAAATAGTTTATAAGCAAGCCATTGACCCGAATCACTTCAAATTTGGAATGAATGTATAAAGGCAAGCCGCTCAAGGCCATGAAGATAAAAAAGTTTATTTCATTTTCAAGTCGACTCTTATCCTGTACGTTAATCCAACCTATTCTTAATATCATTACTAAGGACCATTTGAGCTATCAATGGCTTTTAACAACTTTATTATTAGAATCTACAGTTATAATTCGATAGTTATTTTTCTACAATCCAATTTTCCACAATATTTTTAGTATAACTATTGTATTTATTAGAACTTGACACCTTACTACGAATCATTTTGACCTAAATTGAACGACATTTCTAACTTAGAAATAACGATATCCTGAATTGTCTATGCTGTAACAGATGCGGAAGTTCATCGATATCCACTTATAACATTGTCTAATTCATTAATTCATGCCTTGATTTGGCTTTTGTAAAGTACCATATGATTCACGGACTTTCACATTATAGTGATGAATTTATTGATTAAAATTGTTTGTCAACATATTCTGAGGGGTTTTTCAACATTCGGACGTCTTATTACTGCATTTTTGAATAAACGTCTGCTTGTTCCATACGACTGTTGAAGAGGCCACAGTACCAGGATGTCACTGGAGTGCAATCCACATCAGGTATTTACTTTGAGGTGTTACACTGCAAGGCCAGAATTTATAAATGATGACTGATTAATGGAACATGTTCTCAAAATAAATTGACTGATGATAAGACATGATAGACGTTTCGAATTTATGAATAAATTGATTTATAATAATTGTGAACGAGTGAGCATCTTACACCTATCGTACTTTGTACGTGATAACTAGGAACTCCCGAAATAATGCAATCTAGAGTAAGTAGAAACAAACGAGCACAATTGGACGTATTGTATTTGGAATTCAAAATCAAAGAGCAGTCAGGTACAAAGAAATCGTTACTTACTTACTAACGTCTGTCATTCCTCATGTGAGAGCATAGGCTATCCACCAGTATCCTCCATCAAAATATGTACAAGTCACCACATTAAATCTGTTTCCAGTTGCTATCCATCCTTCTCTTTTCGGCTTCCGATTCCCGACGTGGTGTGTTCTTCGGCATTTTTCTTTTCCATCTCCTTTTAGGATTCCAAGTTAGCGCTTGCATCATAATGCACTTTGATGATTTCCTCAATGTATGTCCTATCCACTTCCATAATCTCTTCCTGATTTGCTCTTCAGCTCGAAGCTGGTTTGTTCTCTCCCACAATAGGTTGATGCTGATAGTTTCCGGTCAACGGAGATTGAGCATCTTGTGTAGTAAATGGTTTGTTAATACTTGTGCACTTTTGATTATGGTTGTAGTTGTTCTCCACGTTTCAGCTCCATACAGTAGAACTGTCTTAACATTCGTATTGGAGATTGTGACTTTGCAATTGGTTGACAGTTGTTCTGATTTCCATATGTTCTTCAATTGTAGAAATGCTTGTAGCGTGGTGTCGAGTTGAG